CTCTCTCTCTCTCTCTCTCTCTCTCTCTCTCTCTCTCTCTCTCTCACACACACACACACACACACACACACACACACACACACACACAAAATCAGTTTTATGCCTGTCGGTCGTTCTTCTGTTGTCTGTCCTCCCCCTGATTTCTAAGTATTTTTTGTGTGCCCAACTGAGCACCCTCAAGTAGTGCCAGACAGTCGGTGGTTCCTCGTTTGGAGTGCCTACTGCACTCTTATGGGGGCATAGGGGGCCGCTCGGTTCGGGTTGTCTGTGTTGCCTGTAGGTGATGACAGATGTTCGTTGGAGTGACTCCCTGGCTCAGTCGGTGGTGGGAACGAACAGTCTGCGCGGTTCAATTGTGATGTGAGTAGGTCGTGTGCTGCTTTGCTCCGTGTTGGATGTGTGGACTGCCTCGCCTGCGCTCTGCCGGTGCCTTGCTGGCTGTCCCGCTGGCGTCGCATGTGGTTCTCTGCGAATTGCTGTGTTTGCTCTGTGGTGTGGATGTGTTGTTGGTGTTGCCTTGCTCTTTGTCGTTCCGCTGCCGTGCTGCTCATCCGCTGGACGTGCCTTCCGTGTTTGCCGCTTGTCTGCCCTGTAGGTTGGTTGCCTTGTTGCCTATGTCGTGCTGCTGGTACGCTCGCACTGTCGTCCCCTGCAGTGCTGTTGCCTTGCTTGTGTTGTCTTGTGCTTCACTACACGGTTGCCGCGCTGCATGCCTTGCGTGCCATGTCGTTCCTTGCAGTCGTTTTTGTGTTGCCTCTACTGTGTTGCCTGGTGCTCCACAGGGTTGCTGCCCGCTGCTATGTTCCGCTTGGGGACAGTCTGCCGTCAACAAGGGTAAAAGGGTTCATGACTAGTGCTCCACAGGGTTGCAGCCCTACGGTGGATGCTATCATGGCTAGTTACTCCATCCGCAGTGTGGTTGGCGGGTAAAGGGATGTCAATCAGCCTATCCTGTAGACGCTGCACTTGGCTGTTTGAGTCAACAACCCACCTGTGGTGGGACTGTCCAGCGTCCAAAAGAATCTGGACATGGTGGTTGAAACATTGGTCCAGCTTCTCCTCTGAGTATTGTTATTGGGCTTGCCCCCAGACAACCTCCCCCTGACCCACGGGATAGGATATGTGGCACAACTACGTCGGTCTGTCATCGTATCTGTTATCTGGGACCACAGGAACCGGGCATGTTTCCAGGAGAGAGGGATGTCTGATGTGGAGACCAAAGCTCTGAAAGAGCTCAGAGTGAGTCATCAAATTCGAGCAGACTGGAACTGTAGAGGTCAACGGGGACAAGGTCGGAGGTTCAAATGGTTTACGACCACATGGTGTAGGGGGAAAGAGCGTTTAGCATCAGTCGACGAAGAGGGGAAGCTCAAGCTATGTTCTTGACTAATGTAGACCGCAGTTAAAAACCGTATTCGGGAGACACTCGGAGTAGCAACAGTGTAAGGTAAGTGGCAAGAGCTGTAGGGTAGGACCAGTAAGGGTAGAATAGGTTTCAGTGGGAACGTATGTCGGTTTTGGACTACAATAATGGATTGGTACGGAATGAATCCGGCAATAAATCCCTGTCTTTCAGCTTTACAGGAGAATGGTACTGAATGAGTCTGGCAATAAAACCTTAGTTCGGGTATTTTGAGGCCTAGCGAATGAGGTGGAAAACAAAATAATTTTCCTTTTGACATGGCAGAGAATCAGTGACACGTTAGATTAGCAATAATTGGATGTACCAGGACACTCGGTTCTAAGTCACAGGAGACTGGCAGATTAGGAGGAAGCACTCATTGGGGGACACAAGATGGAGTGTCATTAGGGGGCAGTGGCCCAGCAGTCTGTTTTAGGCCTGGTGAATGTGGTTTAAAGAGCAGAGTGCTCGACAGAGACATAGTCCCCCCCCCTCCCCACTGTAGTTGCTGCCATTAGTACACAGTGAGCAAAGTTTAAGACAGGTTAAAGTGAAGCTGGATACTTTCCAGTGACTTGGCTACCTCCAGGCTGTTTGTTGAGGATTCCCGGCCTCAAAGTTGATACTTTGAAAAAAGGATTCTCTACCTTTTCCCAAAAAAAAAAGAAAAAAAGAAAAAGGGTTCATCACCCAAACCATCAAATAAGGAGATTCCACAGATTGTCAGGGTTCAGCCTCCGGATGAGTCGGTTCAACTCCGATGAAACAATCTTGTTATCATCAATTTTTATTTTCTTCGGTCTTCCGTGACTTTTTATTGGTTTGCCTGTTTCGTGTTCTTGCGTCGCCTGCCCTCCTGCCTCCTATGTGCCTTCCAGCCTTTACTCTTTGTTGCTGTCGGTCATGATATGCCTTGTTGTCCTTTGTCCTTGTGTGTCCACCAGCCTTCCCCCCGTGCCCTCCAGCCTTTGCTCTTTGTCGTTGCTTGGTGTCACATGCCTTTTCCTTCGCTGTCTTTTATCTGCCTTCCCCTAGTACTTGCTGTGTACTGTTTGTTTGCCTGCCCGCCTCCCCCTTTCCCTCCCAGCCTGTGTGAGATGATGTCGTTATTTGCCTTGTTGTTCGTTATGTGCATTGTTGCTGGCTGTCAGTTGCCTTGTCCTATTGGACTGCGGTTTATGGCTCATGGTTGAGTGCCCTCGGGCTCTAGTCCTTGTGTCTTGGCAGGGTTGGTGAATGGTAGAGGCCTCTGCATGCCATGATCACGGTACAAGGGGTAATAAGGACCCGGTGGTGTTCAGATGCTCGAACAGTCCCGGTGTGGGTGATGCAAAGGCTTGCTGTATGTTTTTTCTTTAAATGATGTGAAAAGCTCCATATACTCTGAATGCAACTTGCCGCAATTCGCATCATGGTAGCGTTATGGTTAGTTAAACACACACACACACACCCTCCGACAAGCACACACACACACACACACACACAGAGCATACTACAGGTCCGATACATTAAAAATCTTTGATCAGTCTAAACATTTCGAATCTTCTGGATCCCTGTGCCAGATACTTGTCGAAGGCTGTGTGTGTGTGTGTGTATGTGTGTGTGTATGTGTGTGTGTATGTGTGTGTGTATGTGTGTGTGTGTGTGTGTGTGTGTGTGTGTGTGTGTGTGTGTGTGAGAGAGAGAGAGAGAGAGAGAGACAGACAGAGAGAC